TGCTAAAGCATAGCACTAGTGTCTTTGTATAACTTACGCATTGTGCATCATAGAGCTTTTGAGGCATGAATTTAGTGGAGTATTTCTGAATGTAAGCTCACAGTTTGGGCAAAAACATCCAAAATATCAGACAGAGGGCCACTGGGGTCTGGTAGACTGTCATCTCCCTGCTCAATCAGTGATTGCTGCAGCTGAACACAACACCAGGCTGACAGTGACCACATGGTCCAGTCCAGTCGATTCCAAACTTCATGTCAAATTGGAGGAGCTGTTGTTAAAGGGTTAGTTTTGCCAAAAAATCTCAGTTAAGATCTCAATTTGGATTCAGGATAAATGTCAGATGAATAACTATGGCATCAAGAGATTGTTTACAATTCTCCAAGAGTTAATTAATTAATTTAGATTACTGATGCAGGTTTACATTTACTTTGGAATAAACCTTTCCTGTATTAATTCACACATGCTGTTACAACAACTGTAATTTCAGATAAGGTTGTGAGAATGTTGAAATTGTTGCACGTAGGACAGTTATAGTAAAAATAAAATTGCCTGTATGGGGTCCTGCTGTGTGTCATGGTCATGGCGAGTCCACAGTTGCAACGGGGATTGGTTTTCCTCAGTGCATAGTCGTGGCAGTTCCAGCCCGATTGAAAAACTGAAGGTGCTTCTCTATGTGGGGCAGAAAGCACTAGTGCAGAGCATTGAGATGGATTTCTTTGACAGGATTGAGAGGGCCTTCTTTCTTAAGGTTAGTAAAGATGGTGTAGAAGAGGTCAAGCACTCCCACAAAAACGTCTCTCCAGAGCCTCTCTATTCTGATGAAAAAAAAGTAGTGTGCCTACAATGAACAAAAACATAACATACACAGGGAAAAAACAACTCTTTGTCTTTACCTTTTATCTAGGAACATAACCCAGTCTATAAAATGACAACACAAAGGTGGGACCAGGAAGCAGAGCTGCAGTCCTACACACTTCTCTGCGTTCCCTCCGTATCAGTCACAAAACCACAACCCCATAGAGAGTGTGTCTGTCCCCAGTCCCATTCAATTATTTAGATTAAGCACTTACAGAGAGAGAATTCCACACGAAAAAATAATACAAATTAACACAACTTCTGCAACAACACATCAAACAAAAACAATTAAATGCATGCTCTTAAACATAAGATCACTATCATCCAAGGCTATTTTAGTAAATTAACTAGTCTCTGATCACAACATCGATTTATTATCCCTCACTGAGACCTGGCTGCATCCTAATGACTATGTCAGCCTAAATGAATCTACTCCCCCCAGTCATATAAATACACACATTCCTAGAGACTCTGGCCGTGGAGGTGGAGTTGCTGCTATTTTTAACTCCAGTCTATCAATTAATCCTAAACCCAAACTAAGCTACAACTCGTTTGAAAGTCTTCTTCTTAGTTTTCCACACCCATCCAAGAGATCACAACAGCCAATCGTATTCGCTGTAGTTTACCGTGCTCCTGTGGCTTATTCTGAATTTTTAATAGAATTACCTCAGTTTTTATGATGGTTCATGATGATGTTTTATAATGGTGTATCCTGATCGTGGTGGCAGCTGATCGTGGACTATGACTACAACAAGACTGCTTGATATACAATATGTCTACTCAGATACCATTACTGACAATAATTCCTCAATTCATTTACCTTTCATCATGCTACAAACTATTTACTCT